GTTGTGCCGCCGCAGGTTTCGCGTCCACTGGGCAGGCCACCGTCTCTTTTTGGGTTATCGGCATCAATTCATCTGCAGGTTCACTGACCGGTATCACTGCGACGTCGACTACAGGGACCTCTTCTTGTTGTTCCGCCTCAGGTTTCTTGTCCACTGGGGCCGGCTTTTCTTCTAATAGATGTGCCTCCAACTCTTGGCAGGCAATCGTCTTTAGGTCTCTTTCGGGTTTAAATGCGTACACCATCTCCATGTGGCGGGTGCCCATTATTTTTCGCGTTGCTTCCGTCCGTGCTTGGATAGCTCTTGTTTCTGTTCGAGTGGCTTCCATCCTTTCTTGGATAGCTCTTGTTTCTTCTCTGGTGGCTTCCATTTCTGCGACCAGCTCTTCTCGCATGGCGGCCATCTTTCCTCGCCAGGCTTTCCACCTGTCGTCAGCCCTTTTCTCGGCAGCTTCTGTCTGGGCCCTCAATTCCTTCCACAGGAGTTCCAACAGTTGCTCTGTTTCCATTTTTTAGCAGTAAAATAGTCGAAACAGTCGTAAGTTTAACTCTTCGAGGCGTGTTTAAGCTCGTAAAAATTCTGACACCAAATTATCACGTGTCTTGAGTTGGAATCTTGTTCGTCACGTGTGTAAGTTCTAATCCCACTTCTGACACCAGTTGTCGCGTATCGGGGGTATGACGCGACAAATAACTTCACGAGGTATTTGATGTAGCGAATTTTATTTCACATTCGCACTTACAATCACCCAAATTACAGATTTACGATTACTGCTATCTGCAGTATCACAATTAGTACACTCCAAATGCCACAATACAACTGACTGGTTGCTGGCTAACTCGGAACTAACTCGGAGGTAGCTCGAGGACTGACTCGTAGGTAGCTCCAGGACTAACTGTGAATAGCCTTCGCTGCTCCTCATGTAGCCTCGATCGGACAATACAGAGAACGGCCACGTAAGAAGCACCCTTGTTGCCTGGCGCTGTGTTGCTAGCAACGCTAGCGGTAGTAACCGCTGTTACTACCGTCGTCTCTCGCAATCCTGTTGCGTCACCGTTACATTACCGTGCGGAGGAGGTGGAGGGGAGCGCTGACTCACCCGCCGCGTCACTGCTGGTGGGGGGGGTTCTCCTTTGCGCAACATGTCACAATATTTTGAATTTTGAAATTTGAACATAATTTTAAGATGTACTTCAAAATTGCACGGATTGTTCCTGATGAAAATAATGAAGTAAAAGATTACATGTTGTAACTGCTATCTTATACTTAACTAATACACAGTTTCCTCTTCTTATGTTGAGAGAAACCAAATACCTCTAAGGGGAAAGAAAAAATATGTGTTGTGTACTAGATTATGAATTTAAATATTACCTAAGTTTATGCGAAAGGCAATAATATATCTGTGCAAAAGCACAGGATTATTAAAAGTATTGTTCAATTATGTAATATAATTTCCTTCATAATGATTGTGTTATGATTAATACACAGTAATTTTTAGAGATTGTAGGAAATGCTGTTGACTCTTCATTATGAATCCATCTGGCCAGTGTTATGATGAATGTCTACAGTTCTATATCTTATTATATTGACTTCAAATCAAAGACATGACTGAATGGAATATTACATTATAATTTGTTTTAGAAAAAATATCCATATGAATTAAGTTCATTATAGTTAGTGTGTAATATATACTGCAGAATACTTTATTGCATTGGACTAGGTAATGGTTCTGTTTCATTATGCTGTAAATCAGTTTTGTTTAAGTTACTGACAGCGATTATGATAGCCATGAAAAATGTAATTGTATATTGATCTGTGAGTTATTGCTTAAGATTAATGAATTCCTTAACTAATAATTGCTAAAATTCTTAATTTTGTGGTTTGGCTTTGTATGGAAGAAACAGCATTCTCGTGAGGGAGGGTTTGTGAAGAAAAAAGGATTGCAAACCGTTTTTAATATTTGCTTGCAAATAACAATTTCCATGAGCATCTAAGGATGCATTCATTTTGTGCTTCCTGCGAGATTGGAACTTGCATGTGTATAATGTAGCAACAATAAACACATTACAAAGGCATTTAGAAGTGTTTTATGTCTTCCAGCAGTTTCAGTACATGAAGAGTGCTATCTTCTGAGGTGTGGTGCCACGTAGGAACATACTTGCCTCTGTTTCAGAGTCAAAGAGTAAGCCAAGCAACAAGTACACTCAGTTTGCTGCTTGCTTGATTTTCTCTTTGACCTTGAAGATGGAAGTAGCCAAATTCTTTGAAAACATCAATGAATTTGTACCAGACTACATAGCTTCAGGAGCTGGGTAGCTAAGTCGGTATAGCTGATGGGTTACAGGCTGAATGTCCTAGATTTTAATCCTGGCAGTGCAAGGTTTTTCTCTTCTCCACAGCATCCAGACCAGCTCTGGGGCCCACCCAGCCTCCTGTCCAGTGGGTACAAGGGGCTCTTCCCAGGGTTAAAGGGGCAGGGGCATGAAGCTGACCACTCACCTCCATCTGGTGCTGAGGTCAAGAATGATGGAGCTATACCTCCGCTCTCCCATATGTCTTCATGGCATAGTGCTTAAATAATTAAGCACAGGGACAGCTTCACTTTTACCTTTACCTATACAGCTTCACATCTCAGAAGATAGCACTTTTCATAGTCTCCATGGTAAGAAACTGAAATCCAACATAGTGGTAATACATGTTGTTGCAGCATATCAGACATAAGATTAGAGTCTCGACCAGAAAACAAGTCATCTCTTAGTGTGGAATCAAGTTCGTCCACCTCAGGTTTTGGTTCAGGAGCAACAGGAATGGGACGTACCCTCACTTGGACGCCTCCTGCTTCTGTAGAAGGCTCTACTCCTACCTGGACAGAAGGCACACCATCTTTCACAGAGTCATCAAGCAGCGGTGACATAGGTATAGGTCATATTTCCAGTACGGTATTTGAATTGCATTGCATGTGATGCCTTTTTATTACTATAACCAATATTTTATATTTCTGCATGCTTACACTTAAGGCATGCCAGCAGATATGTTCATCCATGTCCCTCTGACAGGTTCATTTTTGGAATGGCCTTCGTTTTTTGAAGAGATGTTCAGAAATCTGGCTGTTTTTAAACTGTCATGTTGGTGGTAATGACTGAATAGTTTGCTGACTGGCAACTTGGTTTAATGGCACATAGCATATGTACTTGTTTTCCCATGAATATTACGGTTATTTACACCCTCTTAATATCAAAGATAAGTCTAAAGGACTGGTAGGAAATGGGGGACCAAAAGAAAAAAAAACGCATTTAGTTTAAAGAAGAAATTAAATTAAGTTAGAAATAGATGCTTCAGCAAAACGGTTAAATGCAGTGTTATGGGTAGATACATCTACCTTATATGACCTAGTGAACCGTCTGAAGACGATTCAAAGGGTTCGCCCCATGAAAGGCGTCGTGGAATTGCAGTCAACCACAGCCAATGCTCATATATTTCTTGTAATGTTCTTTTTAAAGATGTCACGTGACCCTCCCCCTCTTTTTTCCTTCCTCCTCCTCTTGTCGTGGCAAGATGACACGAACGATCGCTCTCTTTCCCTGGGTGGCGGTCGCGCAGGGTGGTTGTCCCTGCTCTTAGAAATTTCTGTTTGGTTTCCTTTTTTTTTTCCAAAATTAAATTTATTTTTGGAAGTCAGCGCGGTGTGTCCCGGGAGAGGGCCCCTTTGCTGAGCTATGGAGCAATGGCGAGGCAAAGGTGTTTTTTATAAATATATACGTATGGGTACCCTGTGACTACGTATACACATGTGAGTATTATTATTTTTTTTTTTCTTTTCTTGCTTGTGAAATTAAATGGGCGGTGCCCCATGAGAAAGGTAGTGGCTTGAATGACCGGAGTGGGTCATGCTAGGTTTCTTGTAATATCATTTCTTGTATTCATATCATATGTTTTATTTCCTTTATTATTGTTAAATGTATATTTATTTCGTTATTATATATATTGTAATTGTTAAACTCAGTCAGCATAGCTCTCGATTTGTGCGTGTATTTCCCACACAACAAGCGAATGAACTCCTCCCCCTTTCCCTCTCCTGAAATTTCGGACTGGTTACAGTCCGGGTAAATAACGGTTCACTAGGACAGAAATGCAGGAAATCTGGCTTGACTTAGTTCCCAGGCTTCCAAGGTAAGAGGTCTTATACACCTATTAACTACAGTGAGTTTAGAGAGGGTAGTATTGGCTGTGGTGTAACAGTGAGCATCTTATCAACATTTACAGTAAAGTTGAATGAGGCTGTTGACTTGGGAGGGGAATTTAAACTCAGAGATGTTGCTTGAATTTCCATATATAAGGCAGACAGTAATTGTTAAAGATTAAATGATACAGTAATCATTTCTTCATTAACCAGTTCATGCTGGCATTCTCTCAGCTGTTGAACTGTTAGCCAATCTTCTCAAAATCTGGTACAGACATCATGCCATTAAAAGCGAACTCAGCTTTTTGCCTTTTAATTCCTTACAGTCACTAATAACAACTTAATATAAACATGAACATGTGGTGGTACTTGCACCACTTAATATAGGATCTTGAAATTATATATGATGATAAATCTCTAAATATTTCTAAGTGATGTTTTGTAGAATGGAAGAAGATAGCATGGAAGAATTTTCACCTCTTCTTTATTTAGATAGCAGTAACAGGCAAACCATTGCAGCTAGGAATACAGATTTTTGATTGAAGGTCGACAGAATTTGTACTTAAATAATAAGTTTTTCCAAAAAAGAAAATATTAGAGTTTTTCAGAAAATAACTTTTAAACAAAACAAGCAGTGAGAAAAAAATCATTATATACAGAAAATATGTACATACTTAAGCTAATCACTACTGGAATTGAGACACTTGTTATGTCAGGGAATAAGATTTTGTATGCAGGTGTCAAAGAAGCCTGCCCACCTGTGAGCTCAGCCACAGTTTGGTACATTCCCTCAACTCCTCATTGTTGAAGTGCTGTGATCCCAGCCAGTTCTTTGAGTAGGTAAACAGGTGGTAGACACTCAGAGTGAGATCAAGGCTGTAAGGTTGGTGGTCAAACAACGCCCAGTTGAAATGCTTCAGCAGTGCTCGAGTGCGAGCAGTTGTATGTGAACATGCATTGTCGTGGATTACTGCTTAATCAGATGTCATAGTTTTTTTTTATTGTTTTGAAATACACTTCTGACCCTGTGGTCCCTTGTTGCATGCATTCTACAATCAGAACTACTCTTCTGTCCCAGAGAACAGCTGCCATCAGCTTTGTGGCAGACAGTGTTTGTTTAAACTTTTTTTGGCTTCTTTGGTGAATGTGCATCCACTGCTTTGATTGTTCTTTGGTTTCACCATTCACAAATGAAGCCCAGGTTTCATCACTTCTTGCTCATACAGTGTTGTTGAGAAATTCATCACCATCTTTGTGGTATCGCCCTAAAAAAGTCAAAGCTGAAGCCATTCTCTTCATTTTATGTGCACCTGTGAGCCTGTTCAGAACCCATGTTGTGATAGCCTAGCCTAATTGTGATAATCTCGTAGAGAAGAGTGCGTGAATTTGTGGAAATTCGTGCGAAAGTTCTGAAATTGTGAAGTGCCGTCTTCAACAAATTTTTTGTGAACACTTTGAACAAGATCATCGTGAATATTTGTTCACCCGCCCATCTTTGAGCATTCTATACCATTGTCTTACAGTTCCTTCACTCATTACATTTGGGCTGTAAACCATGCATAATTCATGATGGATATATGCAGCACTCATGTTTTTAGCCTGAAGAAAATGGATAACAGCACAAATTTTGAAGCTAGTAGGATTGTCAGTCACAGGCCACATCATAACTCACTTTGTAGAGAGAAAAATATACGCTAGGTGACTAGTCATATAGTGGTTTACGAGTCAATGAGACATGTGACACTATCTGTCATGCACGAGCTCTCGCCTTCTCTTACATTAGTTGCCTAAAACAAACAAGAAATTGCTTTCTGAATACCCCTCATGATAATAACAACCCTACTAATAGCAGCATCAGTCCATAACATATTTACAGTTGGTAAGAAGAAAAAAAATTCTTTCTTGATTAGGATTTGATCCTATGACTATCCACCCAATAACCCTGGCATGCTAACCCATCAGCTCTCTTGCATTCACTTTTAATCTTATTAACTTACATTACCTAAATATAACATTAACAACATTAGATTTGTTGGACTGAAAGTTGTGTGCTGTAAAGTGGTCTTTATGAGTTCTGTCCAGAGCTTTGTACTTGTGTTGAAGTAAAACTGTTGCTTGGTATACAAATTATTCAGGTCTGTATTTACATGTGTAATTGAAATTGCTGAGCTTCTGTACTTTGCCCATCACAGAATATGCTAAAGGAACACAATGTTTCAAAAGCTGAATCTGTTTTCAGGTGAAAAGGTGAAAGGCACCTACCCAAGTTGGGTCTGTTAGATAGAGATAATCTCACCGAAATGTGTTCTTTTGGAATATTATGCAGCAAACAGAAACTCATTATTCCTGAGTGTAATACTCCATCTCCAGAACCCTTTAGAAATAACAATGCAATTTCATGAAGTTACAAGTATGAGGGACAGTCAAATGAAAACGGATCAGAAGCCAAAACATATTAAAGAACATTTCTTACCTCAAAAGTAATCTCCAAAACTGTTAATACATTTATCCCACTGGGAGATAAGACGGTCATTCTGATCTTTGAAATAGCTTCTGGGCTGTCTACAGAACCACATCTTTACCCAGCCACACACGTCTTCATCTGATGCAAACAAGTGTCCATGAATGTCTCTCTTCAGGTCTCCAAAAATGTGAAAATCACATGGGGAGAGATCTGGGCTGTAGGGGGGATGTTGAAGCACTTCCCAACCAAATTTCTCTAGTGTATTCCTCACAGAGTTGGCAGTGTGGTGGCGCGCATTATCACGAAGAAGGGTAATGCCGTTCGATAGCATTCCAGGGCATTTTGACTTTATGGCATGTCTCAGTTTCTGCAGAGTGTCTTCATAGCGCTGTGCACTGATTGTGGCCCCATGCTTGTGAAATTCAACAAACAGGAGGGCCCTTGCAGTCAAAGAAGGTCATCATCACTTAACCAGAAATTGTGTACGGCTTTGGATTTCTTCGGTGGGGAAGAATTCACATGTTTCCACTGTCGGCTCTGCCGTTTGCTCTCAGGTTCAAAATGGTGGTACCAAGTTTCGTCCCCAGTGGCACTACGGGACAGAAAAGCATACTGTTCCTCATGGTATTGTTGCAAGTGACCCAGTGATGCAGCCATCTTCTGTTCCTCTGTTAGTTGATGTGGAACCCACTGCTCATAGATTTTGCGATACAGCAGGTGTTTTGTCACAATGGCGTATATGGAACCATGACTTATTCCCATCAAAAGACCAATTTCTTCCACAGTGATCCTTTGGCTTGCCCGGATATGACCATCCAATGCAGCAATAACATCAGGAGTGATGACATGATGAGCCTGTCCTCGTCGAGCCTCATCTTGCAGTGACACACGTTCCTCTCGGAATCTCTTATGCCATGCCAGCACATGTGAATGTGACATGCTGTGTTCACTGTAAACAACAGACACGTGATGATGAATTTCTCGGCCTCCTACTCCTTCAGCAGTCAAAAATTGCATTACAGTTTGCTGTTCTTCCTCACCCACCTCCATTACTGATGTTGGATGACCACACGTAGTGCTAACCTTACTTCCAGTGCAGTAAACAAACGACTAGTGTGCAAGGAGACGTCACTGTGCTTTCCCGAGTTCCCACCAGATGTTCGTACCATAAGCAAATTCCAGTATTACCAACTTGTGCACCGTGTGAGTTATGCATGGTGACCGGTTTTCATTTGACTGCCCCTTATATATTAGAATGACTCACTGAAAGTTGCAGATTGAAGACTGTACTAAACATAAGAAAACATCTATTCTGATGGGGAGTCATTGAAATGTTACTAATGGAATGTACTGTGCTGTGCTTAATAATACTGTGATGTTGATAATTACCATGCTAGCACAATCTCTATATGATGCTGAGCTGTTTTACAAATATTTACAGGTTGCCCAACGACCCCAATTCGAAGTATAAACCTGCGCAGAGGTAGTGAGGGTCCTAAATCCACATCAACGGAAGAAGTACTCAATTCCCACAACTCTGAGATGGTGAGTTGAAAGTAACCTTCCTCAGCTACTTCTTCTGTCTCAAGTGTCTGAACATGTATGTGTATCTCACATATATCGGAATAGTGAAGCAGTATTTTTAAGTGTAAACACTAGGCCACAGTATATTGTAGTCTGTAGTATGATCAGTACCTTTAAGATTTTTTATTCATATCTTGTATATTATGTATGCTTAGCCCTCAGGTGGAGCACTCGTGTACATACCAGATTTACCTGTCCGTAGGATGACCTCGAGTTAATCCCAATCTCTAGTGATATATTTTAAGGGAAAAGAATTTTTCACTTGTCCAGATAAAGAACATAGGCACTGGCTTATTAATTTAAGAAATTAAAGAAGCTTAGGTTCAGACAATGACATTATTTTAGTTATTACAGTGTACATAATTTCTGAGTCATTTACATTATTTGAAATACATTTTGTACATATGTTCAAAGATTTCTCTGAGATTATGGTTACTTATATACTGTATTATTTTATCATGTAAACAAACCTTTTAAATGCCACTGAGGGAACAGCATACTCCTTCCATCACAATGTTTTAGACTTAGATGGGATGAATGTGTACTTGTTATGGGGGGAGACTTAATGTTGTATGTAATTTTACTTGGAGAAACTTCAGAATGTGCCCACTTGGGACTCTAGATGTGAGAAGATATGAAAACTAAGCTTGGGAGAATAGGTTGTGAGAATGTGAAATGGATAGGTAGAACTTAACTTTGTTCATCATTCATTTGGCCAATGCTAGAGCAAGTCCCCCCTGCTTCCATTTGGTCTTCCATGATTGCATAATATGAGTTATTAAATGTTCACTTAATAGGCAGGATCACATGGAACTTAACAAAACAGTAATGACAGTTAAATATAAGCACTACAGCTTTAGCACTGATGTTATAGATGTCATCAGTTCTTGATACAGAGGATTACTGCTCATTTACAAACTTAGCTGCAGCACTGGCAGCTGTGATATGTTTTGAAACTTGTGAACGTGTTCAGTATTGGTATGAGATTGTTACTAAAATGAGTGAACTACTTCTAGCACCGTTTTGTTTGGAATCACATTTGATGGGTTTGACATTAATAAAAAATGTGCTTCAAAACCATTGCCACTAGCTGTAATCCTGACATCTGCAGAAGTACAGAACTGAATAATTCATGAAAATCTAACCATTCTGTATGCTTTTCCACAAATCATTGAATTCTATATCATTTATTGTACATTTTCTTGATGTATCATTATAATATACTCCCTTTTATACCTTAATGAAAATAAAATTAAAGAGCCTCATTTTATAATTGGTAAATGTGGTATACTTGCCGCGAGAAGTCGTGTATATTTGTTTGCCACAAGAAAGAATTGAAGTAAACATAAGAAAAGGAGATGTCTGTATGGTCATGCAGTTTCTAAGGGATTTGTTTTTCAAAATCCTTTTAAAGTTTACACTGTGAATAAACATCAATAGCTCTGTGTCTATCTGATCATGTCATCTTATTGTGTAAAAGGAGATAGTGTCAGAGTAAGTCTTAAATACATTTTTTACAAATGTTTGTATTTTGCTAATCATTTGTAGTCTTTATACAGTGCAGTATTAACCAAAGAAACACACAGACTTCTAATAAATTGGTAATGTTTAGAAAAGATTATTTTTATTGCAGCCATGTCTTTATTAAATTCTGTGGTTTAACTTTACCCTACCAGAGTTTAAGTTCTTATGGGCTGTTTGAAGTTTATACATTGAAGACTTGTGACAAATAGCATGATGCATCTTCAGCTGAGAATGATTACTACAATTCTTATGTAATTATCATCAGCATCCTTCTCATGGCAAAAGATTTATGCGGTAGCATAGTTGGTTGAGGCACTGTGGTACAAGCTGGAAGGTCATGGGATCGAATCCTGATGAGGTGGATTTTTTTTTCAATTTACCTAATCCTTCCAGCTGCGCTATGGCCCTGGGGTCAACTCAGCCTCTAAGAGAAATTAGTGCCAGGAATATTCTTCGGGGTAAAGGGTGGCTGGCACATAAGGCTGACAACCTTACCACCATCTATGAGCCAATTGTCTAGAAAATGTTGGAACCTCAACATCTCACAACCCTATGGGCCTCCACGGTCTATTACAGGGATAGCTTTACTTTTTTACTTTTTACTTATCCTTCCCATGGTAGGCCTAGGTGGGAACTCTCTTTGATTGTTGTGAGATGGTATTGATTTAGAGAGCTTTTTGAGTATCCTCTTCCTCTGGATTAATATTAAAATTTTTCTTTTGTCTAGGAATCCTATCAGAGCTCATTTAGAGACATTGTTCATCAGATTTTGTTTGTAGTGTTCAATGAAGTCTGTTGACCATAAACTTGGGATTCTGTTGTTATTTTTAAGTTTTCTTCTTTGCACATTCAAGTGCAGATGCAGTGTTAGGAAAGAATACTTTCTTATATATGTCTCTGCATTAGTTATCTTCAGTGTTAATAATTTTGAGAACCTGGCAGACATCCAAATTGGACAGTATTCTTGTGATAGGATAAAAGGTGTGGAAGTATGCAAAGGTATCACTGCCCATAAGTTTAAATGCATTTAACCTTGTATCTAAGTTTGCAGGATGGGAGAGCTTTAGATGGGCAGCCTAATTATTTGATGTTTGAGGTTCTTGCAGCAGTGAGCATGAAGAGTACCATTTCTGGGGATGTAACACTATCTTATCTGTAATAGGTTTGTTGACATTTTGGAGGAATATACTGTTTCCATCTGTAGCTGCTTACTGGTTGTTTGTTTGCTTGTTCGACATAGTCTTTGACTTTTAGGATGGAAACAGAATGTGCCTCCAAAACACTGGTAAATGTTTACCAGACTACATAGTGTTACATCCCAGGAGATAATGGTCTTCAGTTTAATAATTTGGTAATTGCAGGAAATGCAATTCAGACATATTGGTTTGTGTCCCAAGTCACATGTCACTGTAGTATCCTCAGCTGTTTTGTCCTAGGAGTTTAGCACCACACTGATATAGCTCTTATATACTAATGAGACAGTAATGTCATCAGCTTCATATCCTTTTCAGAGTTCATTTTTTCTTGTGGGATATTGGCCTGTGGAACATTTTCCAAATGTAAGATTTTTGTCAGCAAGGATTTCCTTTGGTCATAGGTTGCTGACTAATCCATCCATCATATTGTGGTAGTTAAAAGTTTATAATAAAGTTGAGCCCCAATGAATATTGATGTTAGAAATTCTGTTTATAACCTGTACATACATACTTCTGGATAGTATTCATGGTGTATGTGATGGCAGCAGATTTCTTGTGTTTGACAATTGTAAGAGGCACTGTCAGGAGTAACTATTCCATGGAGGCTGGAGCTGACTTGAATTGTTAGTGATCATAGAGACTAAAAAGTGGCAGGTGCTGGTCTCTCAGGAGTGCCTGAATGATCTTATATTTTATTCTTGCTGCCTTCTGATTGAGTGTCTCAGTTTTGTGAAGTTGACAATGTCTTGTAATACTGGAGAAAAAATAGATGTCCCACCATTTAGTACCCTTTCAGACCATAAATGAAGTGGGAAGTTATGAGAGAACTACATATTTCACAATCAACAGAACTTAAAGATCAATATGGAAGGTATACTGTCTTCTGTGATTTAACGCCACGTTGTAATCTGGTATAAGACAATCAACATTTCAGAGAGAAATACAACCTCCATCTTCAGGGTCAGAGAGTAAACCAGAGCTCTGCTTACTGTCTACTTCTTGCTGGTTTTATGGTTGGCTTACTGTTTGACCCTAAAGATGGAGGCACAACATTCCACCAAAGTGTTGGTGGTCTTCTACCAGACTACACAACATTACACCCTAGAAGGTAAGTGCTCTTCATAGTCACTATGGTGAGAACCTCATGTCAAAAGTATGTAAGGCATTGGAAAGGACACACCAACAGAATGAGCTCTTAACAGGATTCCAAAAAAGATCTTAAAATATCAAGTAAAATGAAAAGGAAGTTTGAGAAGGCTTCTGAAGTGATGGAAGGATCCTGTTTTGTAATATTAGTAACAGGCTGATAGGTCTAATGTTGGAAATGGTGGTGGTGATAGTAGTAGTGTTAGTACTGATGCATCGGAACATGAAGGCGAGAGAATTCAGTGTAATTTGTTGACACATTAACTCCATTATATTTGTTGTTAATCTAGCATTATCTGTGACTCACTTTTTATTAAACATCTGACCCAGTGATCTGGTAGACACAATGAAAGTTTATAACAACATCCATACAGTGAAATGCCATTGCGAACTTCAGCAGTTTTAAAAACTTTGTTTGTAGAGAATATTTAACAGAAATTAATATTTCTGAATATTATATAAAATCATTCAAAATGTTCTGAAGTGCGTGAATGTCATATTTTCACAGAACTTGGCCACTTATGGGAACATTACACAGTATGTGAGCACCTCATCATTTCATCATTCGTGTCTTTCACACATAGTAAATTCACAGAAGTTCATTGAATTCTGATGAAGGTAGATGTCAGTCCTTTCTCAAATATATCAGCCATCAGGCCAACACAGTGCCATCGGTCTAACCTCAGTATGAGGAAGTCTTATGTACAGAGAAACATCACAGTTCTCCATGAGATTAAAGTCCAGATATGTGCTCGATAAGTAATGATCATCTTTGATCATTAAGAATCCCTTCATGTGTGAGTTTGCTGGAAGAACGCTGTACATCCTTCTATCAGGGCTGGATTTTATAGGAGTAAGCTGTGTGACACAACAGTCAAATTGGAAACATTAGGAAAGAAACTAATATGTTATTAGAAATAATAGTAATTTACAAAGTGTAAGAACAAATACAAACCAAGGGAAGGAATTACAAAAAAAAAAAAGGGTATTATAAAGACATTGACATTCAGTATGCATACCCCATGAGTCCAAAACCAGATGCTTATGGCTAAATTAAAAAAATACTTCTCATGGGTGTTAAATGTGATGTGGGTC